CCCTCTTTCTCTCTCTCTCTCCCCCCCCCCTCTGTGTGTGTGTGGCGTGTGCACCCCCTCCCTCCCTGCACTCCCGTTCCTAAAGGGACATCCAGGCGGGGTTGTGTTCAATATCCACTCTTGCATGCAAATAAAAACCAAGCAGCGTAGGGGACAGAAGATACCGGCTTTTCTCTCAGCAATCGCGTCGATGGTGAGGGGAGTGTGACAGACCGCCCAACTGCAGCTGGAGTGGAAGGGAGTTCAAACAGTTTTGCCGCCAATGCCTGAATTGCAGCTCTTCCTAGCTCAAGACACGTGGCATCAGCATCCTCCCTGCAGCAGTCAAACCACGTGACAACGCACAAACGGCAAAACAAAAGAGTCTCAACCAGCACAACACGACAAAAAAGAAGAGAAACAAAAAGAGCTTTTCCTCCTAACCTGGTCCAGAAACGATATTGCAAAGTACTGCACCACGTTGGGGCCGCACAGACGATCTATTTCGAATTTCGCCTTTCTTTTCCTTTGATGTTTTCAGTTGCTTAGCTCATTGCCCATTGGAAATCATGATATGACTGTTCTTCCTGGGAATATGAAAATTAAATTTCGAGATGCAAGAGCTCATTGAAAACCAATCATGAGTGAGCCATGTTGAGGTTTGATGCATCTGCCTACACTATCTCAAACACACAAGCGGACAACCTCTCCTTCTCCCTTCACTCTAGAGGCCTCTGAAGTGTCTGACCGCACACCAAATAACTATCTGCCTGTCTTGCTGCTGCTCTCCTTCCGTGGCTTTTCCCGACCATTCACCACCTTCTCCACTGCACGGCGCTGCGCTCACCAGCTATGCCAGCGCATGTGCAAGCAGGTAATGCTAGGCTTCTTTTCCCTTCCCTTCTCAGGCGCTGGCTGCAAGCGCTTTCTCAACACTGCCGCATGATACTGCCTGCTTCCCAGTATGTGATCTGACTCAGGCTGCTCCCTTTTGCTAATTCTCTGCTGGGCCTCCGGTAGGCAGTCTGTAGGCCTGGGTCCCACCCATGTTCCTGCCCAGCCTGTAGCCTGACGGGGCCTACCAGGTATTCACCCGGCCAGGCTCCAAAAAGGGCCCAACTGTTTCTCAGGCTCCGGCCTTCGCTTGTGTCCAACCTGGACTCGCTTGTGCAGCCTTCTCTTAGGGCCGCCAAGTCCTGGAGCGTCGCACCTGGTAGAGCTGGGTCGCGGTTCCTGGCCTGAACGTAAAGCTTGTTGTAGGCTCGATGACTATGCGGGTGAGATGACACTAAAATGCCTCAACAGTGAATGGATTGTTGGTTGGAAAAGAATGTTTTGAGCCGTCCACCGGGGCTGCCCGGTGGCAAGAATCGAGTATCTTCAAGGAGTAGCCAATGGAGAGAGGCCTTATGAACTACTTGCGACACTATGCACCATCCTATGAACTGCAGTATTCCTAGAGAACAAAACTGCAAAAAAAAAACAAAAAGAACCAGGGGAATAACACCGAAAAAGGACGGTAACAGACATAAAGAATGTGAATGTATATTTCCGTTGATGCTCCATAGTCAGCCGCTGATGCTGTAGTTGGGTGCACCTGCCTGGCACCTGCAGCCCGACTTCATTAGAGTCATCGGGCAGGGAGATTGCACAACGAGGTGGCCAGCTGCTGGAAGGTCCCAGACGAAAAGGGGCCAGGAAGAGCCATTTCAATTTCAACTGTATTATTGATTCATAATGAAACTCTCTCTCTCTCTCTCTCTCTCTCTCTCTCTCTCTCTCTCTCTCTCTCTCTCCCCCTCCCTCTCTCCTTTCCCCCCAAATGGCTTCTCTGCCTCTGTCTCACCTCTGGTTACTCACTGGTGTTCTGGGATTATGTGAGTGTTTTAATGAATTATTCGGCATTGCCAACCGGTTCGATGTTGAGTGCATTATGACTACTTGCATGATCGTGTTAAGGAAGCTCCTCATGACTGTCGAGCTTACTGCAATTTGTTTTGACAATCAATGTTTCACGGACTTGATGCGAACGAGTGGGGTCCCATCTTGGCTAGTGTCTTGTCAGGTCAATACACAACCGCAGACACTGAGCTCAAAAAAAGTGCACATTTCCCAACGCGTTTCGCCCAGCTAGCGCACCTGCCAGTCCTCAGGGGCGTTCTCCCAAGATCCGAGGAGGAGGAAGAAGGAGACCTCCATGAATTCAGGAGGTCGGATTTTTTTGGCTGGGCAGGGTACTGGTGGTTTAACAAGAAGAAGACCACGGTGGCATAGAAAAAGGGGCAGGACGAGTATAGAGAAAAGAAGTTGGAGGTGGAGGAGGAGGAGGAGGAGGATAGACAGGAAGGAGAAAAATGAGAAGAAGAAGTAAGTGTGCACGACCGGTAATTGGCAAAAAGCAGGAAATGAAGTAGCCAGTCGGAGGGGGAGGGGGAGGGGGAGGGGAACTGGGGGGGGGGGGAGGGAGGGGGAGGGAAGAGGGGAAGGAAAAGAGAACAGACATAAATCCCGCCTGTTACCTGAAACTGGTCGACCTGTCACGATGAGCTGCAGGTTAGATTTATCGTCAGCGGCACCAGCATATCCTCTTTTTCATTGTTGTTCTTCTTCTCCCCCTTCTTTCTGCCAAAAGCGTGCACAGCAACAAATTTCACAGCATTTGTTCATTATTTTATGCTCTTATTAGCATCACTTCACACTGTTCACAGTAAGCGATACAACCAGAGAAAAGAGGTGGGAAGAGGGGGGGGTCACAAAGAAAAAAAGATTTCACCGCATTATTATTTCGTACTCTTACATCAATTCACAGTTAGCGATGCAACCAAAGAAAAGGGAGGGGGGGAAAAGAAAAAAGCTAAGGTCACAAACAAAAGATATACCCTCAGCGTTGAAGATGACGATCTGCTGCTGATCCCAAAACAAAACAAAAATGAATTAATTAATTAACTAAAAAACTAGGCTACCAGAGTGGCCCGGGTCCACTTGCCTGGCCGGGCCGAAAAACAATAAAAAAATAAAAAATAAAAAATATTTTTTAATTTAAAAATTTATTTTAAATTTCGATTTTTTAATTTAAAATTTTATTTTAAACTTCGATGTGACCCTGAGGCAAAAGTTGTTCAATTTATTTTTCTGCATAACATAGTTTTTTTCCGGATTTTTTTTATTTTTCTTTTTTTTTTTCGGACCTTTCCTAGTCATTGCACGGCCGGGCTGCCCGGGAAAATAGGGTGACCCAGGCAGCCCGGCTGGTAGCCTAGCTAAAAAACAAGAAAATACGGCAAAGCAATCAGCACCACATGCTTTCGGTTCAGCTCCTAAAAAAGAAGAACGAGATACCAACAGCAAATGCATTGAGAAGATTTTCACCAAACATTTTTGATCACAGAACCGAATGCATTTGAGACGACTTGCAGGAACAGATGCATTGAGACGACTGTCAGCACCAGATGGGTGTGAATGTCCGTGCGCTCAAAAAACGCATTCCATCCGATACTGAAACAGTGGGCGTCGCTCCACTACTCTGGACATGCACAAAAGACAAAAACCATCACGGTGTATCTTTCCATGTTTTAGGGGAAGATTCACTCCGACATGCACAAAAGACAAACATCATGGCGGTGTATCTTTCCATATTCTAGCGGAAGATTCACTCTCGTTTTGCACATTTCGAGAATAGTGGAGCGAGGCCCAAAGAACAAGATATCTTTGAGCACAGACAATTACACCCATCTTTTAAATTTGGAAGGGGAAAAAAAAATCAACACGCTACCGGATATCTTTGGTCGACAGTAAACCGAGAGTTAGCCGACAGTAAACCGAGAGTTAGCCTACAGTAAACCGAGAGTAAGCCGAGAGTAAGCCGAGAGTAAGCCGAGAGTAAGCCGACAGTAAACGGAGAGAGTTAACCGACAGTAAATCGGAAGTAAGCCGAGGGTAATTCGACAGCAAACCAAGAGTACTGAGAGTAAGCGGACAGTAAACCGAGAGCAAGCCGATTATTAACCGAGAGTAAGCCGACAGTAAACCGAGAGTACCGAGGGTAAGCCGACAGTAAACCGAGAGTAAGCGGACAGTAAACCGAGAGTAACCGAGAGTAGAAAATTTTGGATTATCCATTGGATTATATCCAGGAAAAAAAACAAAAGACAAAAGCAATCTCATGGCATGACGAAAAACCTCTGCCTCTCGTCAAACGCTATGATCTTTCCCCGGGGTAAGTACGATAGCTTGACTAATCTCTCTCTCTCTCTCTCTCTCTCTCTCTCTCTCTCTCTCTCTCTCTCTCTCTCTCTCTTTCTGCGTGTGTGTGTGTGTCTGTGTAAGTGTTTGTGTCTGCGTTTTGCCCGAAGCCAACAATGCCGAGCACAGAGATCCGCGAGAGGACAAGAGGTGTCTTCAGCAACATTCAATCTGCTTGGCAGTTGCTCTTCGGGTGGGGGACTTATCAGAGTACCATTGAGATGAGAGCCACAATGCCAGGCGTGCATCTTGGAACATTTGCTGGAAGGCAAAAGGCAAAGAAGAAACGAAGTAGCACGTGTCACAGTCACATAATGGACAGCTTGGCACAGTCCCCCCCTTTCTCTCTCTCTCTCTCTCTCTCTCTCTCTCTCTCTCTCTCTCTCTCTCTCTCTCTCTCTCTCTCTCGATCGATCGATCGATCGATCGAGGGAGGAGAGCGGACGGCCCCAGAGAGAGAAAGAGAGAAAGAGAGAGAGAGAGAGAGAGAGAGAGAGCACGGATTCACGATGAGCACGGATCCATGATGAGCACCGAGCACGAAAAGCATGTATCCACGATGAGCACGAAAAGCACGGATCAACGATGAGCACCGAGCACGAAAGAAAAGCACGGATCCCCAATGAGCACGAATCCACGATGAGCACGTATCCACGATGAGCACCGAGCACCAAAAGCACGGATGGACGATGAGCACGAAAAGCACGGATCGACAATTGAGCACGTGATCATGCACCAAAGAAAAGTCACGATGAGCACCGAGCACGAAAAGCACGGATCGACGATGAGCACGAAAAGCACGGATCGACGATGAGCATGAAAAGCACGGATCGACGATGAACACGAAAAGCACGGATCGACGATGAGCACATAACCACGAATCGACGATGAGCACGTGATCATGCACCAAAGAAAAGCACGGATCC